GGTGAAATGCCCAAAAGGATTTTATTAAATGGTTAATACAGTATTGTAAATTTTCTCAGTTGGCTCAGTAATTGTTTCTCCACATGTATATCTGCTCCACCTGCTTGTGAATCTTCCACTATGCCAAAACACATGTAGAGAAACTAGAATTCAGTCTAGACTCTGCTGATTTAGGCATTGCATGGATCAATAATCATGGTCCTCAAATCATCTAGTCAGAAAAAATCATTTGCTAGCTTTTTTGATGTGAAAATTTTAATAATGATTAAAAACCTCTTTTATAATGTATTTATGCTAAGAAGTTATTTTTAAGTATCCAACATCAAACTAAGACTAGCCTGATCTCAGGACTTTTAGGAAACACTTACCGTAGAAAATGCCAAATGGAAGCAGGGGAATTATATAACTTCATATAATTTGACATCCCAGCAAGGGTTCTTCCTTAGAGCCAAATTTAATATTTTCATCAGTTCCATATGAAAAATCTGACATATGAAAAGTTCTTATACCCTGTTGAACCTCTGCTGTAGAATTAATTCTTCATGTGTGGAAATAACAACTGAAAAAATATCTTCCTTATTACTACATGCTCCAGGTTGCTGTATTATATTTTATATGAAGTTTCTCCTCTTTTTTAGGAAATAAAAACTGGGGATATGTACTGGAAATCACTTTTCATTTTTGACACTTTCCTGAGCATAATTTTGTAGCCCATCAAAACAGTCCAGGGTCTCCTCTGCAAGTCCTTTTATAAGAATGTGAGCTTGTTCACTTCAGCCTATGATCCAACTTGGATTGAAAATGCTGATGTTCTAATGCAGAGCAAAAATGCATTCCTTGCCCTTGCTCTTCTCTGCTTTTAATAGTCTCTGCTTAAAAAGAGGATGTTCCTGTGTGCCTCAAGATTCAGCTTCAACCACTTATTTCCCCATGCTAAGTTTTCCCTCTCGGGGGCCATAACTTCGTGGAAAGCAGACACAAGGTTTCTGATATTGCTTCATCCTTCCTTCACTATTTTTAAGTTCATGAAAGTCTTTGTGGTGGAGTGTTGTGATCTTATGAATTCCAGCTAAGTACTTGGGAGGAATATTTGCCCTTGATTCTCTTATCACAATAATTGGCTCGAGGAAGGAGAACAGAATACAACAAAATATATTACATAGTTAGCATACTAATAGAGAACATCTCAAGGTGATTTGGAACTGTAGCAATAGCTTTCCTAGAAGCGCCCAGTTTATGTCTCCTTATTCAGCTCATAAGCATGTTATATTGTATATTATGTCTTGGATGGAATGTGTCTCATATGATGAATATTGTATTAATTACTTGTAAGATATCAGAGACATTATTTCCTTTCTATTCTAAAATAATTGTGGAAGGACCTGATCAAATTAGGAATCTTAGGTAAGTGTAATTCAAAGAGAAATGAGCAGACTTTTAATTTTTATTCTTTATTCCTCTTGTTTTAGTAAATTACTTTTACTAAATTACTTTGTAGTAATTTAAATAGCAAATAGGTCAGGTCAATTCAGACAAATTTAGTAGATTGGGTTGTAGTAATTTAAATAGCAAATAAGTCAGACCAATCACCAAAAGATGATTTCCAGTATACATCCCCAGTTTTTCTTTCCTAAGTCTGCCACAGCACTGATACATGTTTATTGTGATCAAAAATCAAGAACAAGACTGGGATCATGGCAATAGGCAATGATTTTAAAGCCCTTTCATAGATTTATCTAGTTTGGTTTGAAATATATCCTTATATTCATGATGCGTGTGTTTTTTCTAAAATATATGAGTAAAGCACATTTTGTATCATCTTGATTATCATAGTGTAGCAGTTTGGCTTCCCTCCTAGTTTTAAACATATTTACTAGATTCAGTGGCAAATGTATTTCTTTGGATTGTAATCTGAGCTATTGGAATAATTTTCTACACTGAAAATAAGCTGCTTAGCATGCTGTTTCATTGCTTTAGAATTCAAGATCCAGAAAATGCAGCTGTTCCATTCACTTTGAGAGACAGTGAGCACTAAAGATGAGTAATGCACATATACAACAATAGTTTTGAATTAGTGATGCTCTTTTTAGTATAAGACTAAGCAAGCTGATTCCAACTTTACATTTTCCACGAACAAAAGAAAGTAACACTTTTGTTGGAAGAATACAGAATTTAGGAAAAAGATGGTTCTCCTGTTCTGAAACCTAACTATAATTTCACACAAATGCACACACTCCATAAGATCTCTTGCAATAAATTACAGGTAGACCTTAACTTACGACCACAATGGAGCCACATATTTCTGATGTTAATCTATCCACCCACTAATGGATGGGTGGATAGATAAGGTTGATGATAATGATGATAGCAATAGCACTATAGCAATAGCACTTAGACTTATATGCCACTTCATAGTGCTTTATAGCCTCTCTAAGTGGTTTTCAGAGTCAGCATACAATCTGGGGATGAGGAGGGAGAGGGATGATTACTGGTCTGCTGCCTCTCTGAGAATTGTGGAAATGCTGTTATATCTAGACAACATTAAGCAAAGAAGCCTTTATTAAATAACTGCATGCTCACTCTCAGTATTCTTTATGCCATTAATCCTTATTGGTCAGAAATAGTAAGGCATGATGCTTTTTCTTCAGCATTGCATTTATGGCTATTTTATTTATTGTCTGGCTGTATATTTTAAAGCAGGCATGAATTTTGGTTGCAACATAAAACTGCTAAAACAATGTTTGAAAATACTCACTTCCTGGTAAAGGAAGAAACACTGGATTTTTTTAGATGTTTATATTACATATAAGTTTATTATACCAATCTGTTAATTAAACAAGTTGTCAGGGTTCCAAATAGCATCCAAAATTAAATCAGAGTCC